ACTATATTAGGATGCAGCAGATAGCGATTTCTACGTTGTTTATGAATGAATTATTATTTACTCTATTAGAAATTTTGAATGAATTGTCAAAAAAAATATTGATATTATTAAATTATAATTATAAAATAAAATAAAGGATTCCTATGCTAATATTGTGTAAAAACATGTATTTAATCATATATTGATAAGAGTGAGTGTAGAATAAAATAGAATCAGTTAGACTCCAAATTCAAGACAAATCAATGGCGATTCTCTGTTGTCATCATATAACATAGATAGCTACATTTTTTATTCTCTCTAAAACTTATCAAATTATAAAAAATATATAAGAAAAAACCACACTGATAAAACAATGGGTTGCTGTATCGTTAAAAGTGATCTACAGTATAAATAAATATTAATATAAAAAAAAAAATATTTTAGCGGAACACTACTGCTTTGACTTGAAAATTCCTATTGGACATTTTATATTTCTTTTCAACAGTTCGAATTTAATTTTAATATTAACAATGACACTTGTAACTTACCTAATATATACCTTTACATCCGTTATTGCTTTCAACGTCTTCCAAGTAGATATATACTAATAATTCTTTACAATTAATTACTGCCGTTCTGTTTTGTGGCGCTTAAATTACATGAAAATATTACGGAATTTTAAAATAAATAACAACTTAAGTAGGAGCGAGTTGAAAATGAAATTTAAATAAAAAGTAAAATTCAACATTACCTACATTATGTCCCCAACTGACCGCAAAATTCGTTTCATACGTGAGCTTGAATCTGGGTTTTTGTGTTCCAACTCACCAACTTCCACTCTTAAAATGTAAAATGTCACGACATAAAATCTCCATTTGTTTTGTTCCATGGTACTTTCGTTTATTTCATTTTTTCGTCTATTCAAACTTTTACTTTTTTTATGCGTGACTTACTGGTGCAACAATCAAATTAAAGGAGTCATTTAAAGGCAAGTTAACTATTAACAAAAGCGCAAAAATCATATGTATGCAAAACTGAATACCACATATTTCAATTAACCTACTCTGACCACAACTAGCATAACTGCAGATAAGTCTATATGAATAGATAGAGCTTAGCTATTCAGTGTGCAAGAATAAACCGTGATATTCAAAAAGTATACCTAGTTTTTTTTAGTTAGTAAAATAAAAATACTTTTACCCGTATACTCGCAAGACTAGTTTCCAACTGTTGACTTCCCATTTTCTAACAAGATTTTTTCTCTCAATAGACGCGCAAGTTGTTCAAGAGTGGGCCTTCTTTCACATCAATGCACACAACGGGAGTGGAAAATACCACTAACTTCAACTATGTGCACTGACTCTCGGCTATATAACTACGTAGTATAGTTAACTAATACATTATTAAACATATAAGATCATTATCAATTAAAAAATCAAAAAATAAACCTTTAAAAGTAGTAAAAATAGCTTAGAAATAATTTAGAGAGATCATTTTTCGTTTCGAGCCTATATTTATTTATGAGTGACAATATATGAAACAAAGGATTATATGCATAATTATTCAAGATAGTATTAAATATAATAATCCTATACTTATAAATGACGATGTAGGTAACCCAACCTTTTGCAATAAGTCTTATGAAAATTTTAATAAAACATTGTACACTAAAGTGAAATTTAAAATGTTCTAACAAATAATCATAAAAATATTTCGTGTAATAAGCAGTGGAGTCTGCTGGAGTCTGACGTCTAGTGTCTCGATTTTATTGAATCTTACACAATAAACTCCACTATATACAACGAATATGAAAGTTTCGAATGAGCTAAACATGAATGTTTCGAAGCTCGATATGAATAGCTTAACTCTGAAAAACTGAAATAAACTAACAATAAGTATTACAATATTCATCACATATATTAAACTTGTAACCTCCCATCCAATATATAATCAAGACTCATAATTATCCATAATCTACTGCCGCGGCATACTGACCAACAAAGACCTGAACCTAAGTCTCAGACCTCTAGAACCGGATATACCTATTACTCCCGGATCTAGCTTTCTCAATCTTAATTACTCGATGACAACGACCCTGCACATAACCTCACAATATCTGGATTCGAATCGTTGAAAAGAAAGAAATCTATTTCCTTTCATCCGATAGCATCCTCAGTCTTTCACTTCCAAATTAAATATGAATATGGAAGGCGCGTTCGAAACCATATAGAGAGGGGAGTTAGAAAAAGGCTTAAGTAACTGTAAAACAGTCAATGGACAAGTGACACTGACAATGAATCCGTCGCGTCCGTTTTAGGTTGATGTCACGTATGTTTTGCGTGCGCGTGTCGTTTGTGGGCCCAAACTGGTTGGACACGTAGCAACTTTCCAGGACATCAACGCCAAACGAATCGTATGTAGGATGACAATAAAATTTTCAATTCCGTTGTTTGTTGTTCTTTTTAATGTGTTTATCTTCTGTCTTGTATTTTCTACCTTCATTAGCAATTTTGTTTATTTGTACTCTTTAATTTGTTTATCTTTTTGTGTTCCGTCTTTATTACCAAATATTATTATTATATGTCTTTATAAGTAAACAGAATCTCAATTTACCTCTATTTTTTTATCTTAAATTTTCTCTCTTAGGTTTTCTTCCGTAGAAATCTATATAAATTTAGTCAGGAATGAAATCTTACCATTCAAAACCGGTTTCCATATATTGTCCTCGGACGTATTACAAAATCATCTATACGTCCTTTACTTATCAACTATGACTCTTCAATCTAAAGACAGGTGTATAGACGGCCAGACAGATTATATAAACAAACAGTTATAATAGTTTTAGTAATTATCATTAGTCATTAAATATTTTGTCCTCGTTAAGCTATCGAGGACTATAGACAGATCTTTAATAAACTAATCAATAATGAAGTGACACCTCTATGGACAAGATAAAACGACCATTCACATCACTCCATGCGGTCAACTGATCCTCCAGGATTATCCTTCTAATCCTCATCCATTTAGAGACTATAGTAAATACTAGTTGACGATCACCTTAATTACAGTAAAAAGTGCTTGTTCTCTCCTATTATCTCACGCTTTCACAAGTAAACATTCTCGCAAAATTCCAGTTTTACTAATCTACAGATCTTCGATAAATAATGAACTATCAATAAAATATTATTGTACAACAAATGCGTAAAAGTATTATAAAATTACTTTATTCATACTACAATCTAAACTAAGACTTATAATTACATAAATATATGGTTGAAATAATAACATTTGATTAAGCTTTATTGACTACCGCTTCCCATCAGGTGGACCATCTGCTCATTTGCCTCTCTAACAATAAAAAAAGTGTACTTAAATTAGATAGATAGATAGATACTCTTTATTTTTAAATTACTCATTCTATTTTCTTATAAATTACATATAAATTTACTTTTAAAACTAAATACAATATTTGAATATACACTTGCTATTTCGTCTATTATACGAGTAGCTTAAAAAAAAAACAAAATAAACTAGAAAACCACTGTTCAATGTCAATATAAAATCGAAAAGCAAAACCAAATTCTGCGGCTATTCTTATTCTATTACAAATGTAGGTACTAAGAAGTTAACAATATTGTTCAGTCAAGCAAGAATCGGAAACCTATTCAATTGGGTACATCGTTCCAGAAATAATTCGAATTTTCTTATGTCCACATTTTCATTTTACACTAAAAATATACATCAAACTAGTTAGATTTAGATAGAACAAAAATTAACCCATAAGAGAACAAATCATTATCAAATATGTAATTGTGTTAAAATGCATACCTAAAACAAGAAAATAATTTTTCATTTCGATTCACTGACAATGTCGTTCATTAAATATGTATGATGAAATTATCATAGTCAATTTTCAGATGGTTCTTTGAGGAAACAATAAACGTACTAAAAAAGAGATAAACGGCGTGATGTTACAATGCTAATATTTTTTTAATTAATTAGAAAAACATGCATTTGTAAATGATATTCCTAACGCATAACATTTATCATAATTTGCAATATGAGTTATTTCCGGTACGAGTAGGTAGTCATTCCTCTAATTACAAATAAAACAAAGAATGTATGTAATAGTGAGCATAGCAGTGATAATACTGTATGCTAAAACTACATCTAAATGCCACAGGATTCTACAGTACACGATCATTCGTGCCACTAGTTTTTCAAACGTCCATGGGCTGTGATGACCGCATATCATCAGGAGTACCGTATACTTGATTGCTGTACGTTGTAAAAAATATAACAAGTTTATTATATGCTAGGAATAATTACCTAATTATATATTCAAATAATGTTATAAATTCAAGTTTTTTTTTTAATATACATTTTAATAACAAATGTCTCTTTGAATAATATAAATCGTAAACACCATTCATTAATGATCATTAGTTAAATATATCTGTAAATACAATTATTAGAGATTATACTGTCTGAAATATTTACAGAAGTAAGTGTCCTTGAATAATCTAGCTTAGAGGATTATCTCCCACGTTTAATCTAGGTATATAGAATAATTGAATATTCTGTAATTATATTTTTACGCTTTAATGCATAAATTCTGTATATGGAAATTTTAGCAGGCTGTATCGAAATTATTAAACATCAAAATATTTTTTTTATTATGGAACCTAAAAGATTTAATGTAAGTTAAAAAAATCAAGTATGTGCACACGCATGAAAAAAAAGTTATGTGTCACAAAATTATACTCGTAGTTAAAAATAATTCCAGTGTTCTTTATTGTAATTATAAAACTTTATACTTATATGAAAATTAACAAGCATTATTGTTATACTAAATATACATATTATACGTATACTACACGTACATAATATACCTTAAACATATTTAAAAATAATCGTTAAGAATATGCAAATTTGATAATTCCATACAGTGAAACTTACATTCGTTTTAAATTTCTGTTTACCCGTCGACATTAGACTCAATAAATATTTGTACTTTGCAGGTAATTAACCAGCCTTTACATCAGCCAAGCAGTGATCGGAGGAGGTGAAAATACTACGGTCAGTACAAGCGATCTTCATGTAGCAAATGGTCAAACACACTGTGCAAAGAAAAAGCCGGCCTCTCACTTTCGTACCGTTCAAATTTAGGCCCATGTGTGTACGCTGTACGATGTGAAAGTGAATACTTCAGTGTGAATCTCGCTGAGCAGTTATTACCTAGTTATTGATATTGATTGTCCGGAACATTGTCAATCAACTTTCCAATTAAATTCGCATTGTACTATGCGGCGACCACGACATGTTTAGTTAAAGTTAAAATTACACCATCTTCCTAATCTTATACATAAATATGTAATTTTTAAATTATGTTTCAATGATTACGTATCTATGTACTTAATGAAATCGCAATTTACATTTTATGGTAAACGTACTTATATTACATAAGTTTTAGATAATAGCTCGTCATCGCAAGTTAGAAAAAGGCACGTATTTGCAAATATTTAACGTCAAATATATCTTTCCAATGCCTGTATTAAATTATCACACTAAGTCCTTTGCGAGGCAGATAGAGAAGACATACTTAATAAATAGATTATAATGATAGAATTTTTTATACCTTAATGATGATACCTTATGGCATGCATTCTATTATAAAGCCGTGTTACTGCCGCCATGTTAGTTATTAATATTTGTACTAGATTTTACCCGCCACTCCGTCCGCGTGCCTAAGATATGTTTACTGAGCAGAATAAAAACTAGCCTACATCCTTCTTCATCTCATATAGTACGTGAATACCAAATTTCATAGTTGTTAAATTGTTAAGGCAACGTAACAAACGTAAAAAATAACAAACAAACATACATTTATAATACTCGCATTAGTAAGGATTATTGGGCTGTTTAAACGATGCCACTGTAAATAAAGGTCAAATAGTAATTTGTTTTTTAAGAACGTACTCAACTAGACGAAGTACAAACGAACCTATCAATAGAATTGGTCAATGCTCGCATATGAAGGAGCAAGACAGCGCACATCGTCATCTCATTCTATCTCATCGACACGCTAACGATAACGATTTTATCAATAGATTCATTTATCCTTTGTCTAGGAGAAAGAAAGCCACATACCATCACATATATGTATTATATTTTAATATAATAACTACCAGTTTGACTTACATATAATTAGATCGAAAAACTCGACTAGTTTCGAGACCAATTCGGGACCCTTAATCATAAGCGACTCAGACGCAAGTACGCTTGACTGCGCACCTTGGCCCATAGATTACATGCATTATATTTAATATCAATTTACTTCTGTTTTCGATAGAACTATGTGATATTCAAACGTTGTTAATATTCACAAACATCACATTTACATACATACAAAATACCTATAACCCTGTTCTGGTAAACTATAAAGCTACACATTCAAAATTATTCATATTAATAGCTACAAAATAATTCTTAAGTGTGCTAATGTACTACGATTTAAATTCTAACTCAAATATGCGACCTCTATACATAGATATAAGCACCATTTCATTATCCCGCACCTTGTTAATATAAATTGCTGATTGAATAATCCGCAATGATTAATTGAAATCAGTATTCATGAATTGCTTACATTACAACATTGGATTGTTTGCCAGAAATGCCTGTTGGTAACGGCACGGCATTCCATAATGTGGACAAACTGAGCACGGATTTTATTTGACAACAAATTAATATTCAGGACAACTTTGGCTGAAGTCCCGTTGCGGCCAGTCCTTGTACACATAACGGCTCGTGATGGAATCGTTGGCCCCAATTCGAATTTATTATTATATCGATTGCCTACTAACTTATGGCCCTGTTGATTCCATTTCGCCGCTAGAATTCTCGGTATCACTCATCAAGGTCTGGTAAGTGTAGATAGAACTCAATATTACTTGTAAAAAAAAAGGGAATAAGTAAAATAAAACAAAAATATGCTCACTACAAATAATTTCTAATTGGATAGTTAGAGATCTCGACTGTTGCCGTTATGATTAACGTAATACGTAACACGCCTACGTTTCACCAAGCATATTATAAACCAATATATTATTATGATAGAAGGCGTATACATAAGTAAAATTATAATGAATAGTCAATTATCCTTAGTTTTAAAATGTGTTTGTTTATTTGTTACCTTATTGCTCCTTAACCAATCACTAGGATATTTACTATGCACCTTCTATATGAAATGAACAAGGATATAGACTACTTTTTAGTCAGTAGTTAGGTCAATAAAAATATTTGGGTTACGCAGACGAAGACGCGGGTGACAGCTAGTTACTACTATAAATATATACAACGAAATAATTAAGAGTCTGAGTATTTTTTAATAAACTATTTTCAGAGATTGCAAAAAATATTGGAAATAATCATAAACTTCTTTCACAAATCAGTTGCTATCGTAATTTTAATTCTCCTCGGCTTAGGTAGTTCTGTCAGTTGAGAATTAGTTGCTTGGTAATCCGTCTTTAATATATCTAATTAACTGATGATAATAAATAAGTCTATATTTTTTTCAAACCAATCTATAACACTGAAGGATTACAGATAAAATTAAATTTGTCTTAATAAAGTATAAACTTAAAACATCACTAAAAGCCTAACTGCAATTGCAAATCTGTCTGCCAAGTTTAGCAGTAGACAATTAATGGCTGAAGTGATGATAATGATGACAGTATAAATAGATTTGTTTTCAAGCTCTTTTAAATCGTCAAAATTTATTTTATTACTATTGGGTTCGAAATGATACTATCTGCTGAGAAGAACCTGCAAGAAACTCAACAGTTATCACCACGCCGCCACCAGTTTGAACCTTATAATGAGCATGACTTGTTTCAAGTTATCTAACTACATAATAAGTACTAATTACATCAATACACTACACAAAAAATCCACAAAATAGTGTAAAACACTAACACACATAAAAAATAAATAATTAATATAATAATGTCAATAAATTCATATTGAAACATAAATTTTTATAAAGATTATTAATATGTAAAATAGTCATAATAGCTAATTAATTTTACTTAATTTAATCATACATTATTGTCTTTGATATAATCGTCTATCCTATAATATGACTTTTCACAGAAAGTAATTTTTATAGAAAATGCTAATCTTTTTCAGGTCGGTCCAGAATAGACTTAGGCAGTTTATTATAAAATCTAGCACCATTGCTTAAAAACGAATGTCTGACCTTTTTCAACCGATATAGTGGTAAAAGCAATTTGTTGTTTTTTTTTTTTACTATTGAAAGGCATTTTTTATTTCTGGGATTAATCACAATCTTCTGTGATGAAAAGCGATAATGTGGTCTAAGTGTTGTATAGCGTAAGCTTTTGTTTGTGTGATTGTAAAATATTTTAGCTTCCGTAAACTATTATGTTTTATTTTTATTTTCTTGCATACATTATGTTTTCATATATCTATAATTGATATACTGAATAGAATCAGTGTTAATCGAATCATCCAAATATCGACATACAAATTACCGGATACCAGACTGGTCCCCGGAAAAGACAACCAATATCGCAAGCCGGATGCTACTTTACATTCTCCATATAACAGTTTATCAACAGCTCAGTCGAATCAACGCTTGACTGGTCCTGAAATCCCAAAATCAAATCCCAGCATACACAAATTACAGCAACAGCTTTTGCAACTAATGATGAATTGCAAAAGAAAAAGACAATGAAGGAAACATAGAGACTCTCGTCTTATCAGGGAGCACCATCTTCACAAAAATACTTTAATAGCAGTAACTTTATAAATAAATATTTTTAAATTCTAAATTTATAAGTAAAAAATATAAATTACTATAAAAAAAATTTAGATATTTTGTCAATCGATTTCAAAAAAGAAGGTTCTCCATTTGTTTTTAATTTTTTGTTTGTTACTTCAAAACTTGATCAATTATAAACCAATTTGGATTCTATTAATAATTTTATCAAAATTAGTTTAGTAGTTATATTTTTAATCAAAATGACTGATTTTGCCACAATTGAAGCCGAATTTTTTTGTGAAACACAATCATAAATGATTCTTTTTGTGACTGGTCTAAAATGTAATAACTACCGGTTTGACTTACGTCTAATTTAGAATTTTCGAGAAAGCTTGACTAGTTTCAAAACCATCTTCCATATGGTGCCGGAACTAGTCGAAAAAGTTATATGTATTTTACGCTCACGACTAAGGATCCCAAACATGAACGTAAAATACACATAACTTTTAATAATAAATAGATCATACGGTCTGATCTGTTAGATCTTTAATAAGTAAATGAAAATTATTTACACTACAATTACTTCAATATTTACTATGCTATAGCAGGATAGGGACTTTCCATTCTAACTCACTAACTTAATATCGCTTCACTACAACCGGTTTGCAGCATGTCACGACTATAAAAATTCCGATCCGACAGGTCACAAACTGGTCGACCATACTGAAACCGGAACTAGGCCATGTAACGTCCAACTATCCTATGTTATAAAAGTAAGTAATCCAAGAGTAATTTAGGATCCACTTATTACAAGCATGTTAGTTAATCTTTCTATATTCTTGCATTTAGCAATTTATTAAAATAAAAATTAACATTTGTAGATTTATAACAAATCATACATAATGTAAATAATACATGAAAAATATGTTATACCTATACCTATTTACCCTAATTTTAAACAAGAACATTTGTTTAATGGACTAATTATATATAAGTAGTGAATAAAACAAATTAAACACAATCTACAAACTTATAAAATTTTGTTTGATAATTTCTTTAAATAAAAAAAAAATATAAAAAATATTGGATGTAATTTTGAAATATCAGCTATTCTAAAGAGAACACCAAGTCTTTAAAGTAAAAATTTCAATGTATCAAATAAATTCTAAAGTTCATACTAATTTATCAAATATGAATATAGAAACAACATTATTATTTCTTTAGCACGTCAGTATAAGTTATTTTCTATTAACTTATGAAAATTAGATTTAGCTTCGTAAAAAAAAAAATAAAC